TTAAGGAAGAGTGTTAGAAGAGCTATCCCAATACCTCAAAATCAATAACTTGAACAATTCCTAGCTTTTCCGGACAAAAACCCAAGTATAAAGAAGACCCCTTTTCTGCCCGATTAGCCTGTCATGAAATCGAGGTTATGTCGTTTGTTTAGATTGTTGCTGCAATTATTTAGCAGTCGGCAACCAAGGCGAGCCTTTCGAGACAGGACACTCTAGCCGTAAACACGTGTGTGCGGGTGTCCTTGCGGTGCTTATGCAATTACATAAATTTTGTGTGACAATTTCGATTTGGATATTCTTTTATTTAAATTATGCCTTCAAGTCCATCAGGGCCCAACACACTTGAGCTCTGTTATAAAATATTTATTGCCGGCAAATAAATCCCACACACTGACACTAGCAGACGTCGTTATGGTAATTAATTTCAATCCAACACGAAACCTGGCATAATCTTATTTATGCGACTTGTGTCTGGGCTGTGGGATTTGGCATTTCTGATTTAGCATTTAGCAGTTCGGATTTCGTACTTTTCATTTTTCCCCTACGCCTTCTGCTAATTGATTGGTCAATAAATGGGTTGCTTGACTCGAAGAAGCATGTCAAATTCTTCGCAATATTTTCCCTTGCTCGACCGCAACAAAATCAATTGGCTGGCCAGGGCGCCTGGCCAATATTTGAGCTGGTTTCGAGCTCATGCAAAATTTAATTTTAATTTCCAGTGAGCAAATGTTGCAAAAGTGAGAACAAGCCAATTTCCTTTCAAAGCATTCTGGGTATACACATTTTAACCACTTGACTGCACTGCGGCTACGACTCGGGCCTCAATGCTGCCAGAAGTCAAACACTGGCTAAGTTTTTGGCCTCCACCTCGGTTTCCTTCCACTAGTCTACCAAAACACTAGTGTGGTTCTGCCAATTGACATGCAGACCTGCCTGGCAGCCGTAAATCGGCATAAATAATTCATTATTGCCGCCTCGTTGCGCATAAATCAAGTCTCTGGCCAAGGCTCACACACAGCAGCAGCTTTGTATTACCAGCTCTAAACGCGTTTAAAGAGCCAAAAAATTGAAATAACATCGGAAAAGAGCAAAAAATGTACTGGAGATGCCGGGGATTGAACCCGGGGCCTCTCACATGCAAAGCGAGCGCTCTACCACTGAGCTACATCCCCGATGAAAGTCTCCCGTTTCATCTGCAGTGTCAAAAATGATCCTGCGTGCGGTGCATATGAGTCAACAGTGCCAACATGATCTTGCAGTGAAAAGGATTCGTTTCAGAACAGAAAACTAAACTCGTATTTTATGTTTTTTCACGTTTAAATGTTTAAGCACAAAATCCCGCTTCTAAATATGTATTTCATTATTATTTCATTAACCGATATTCTAGGCGTTACTTAAATATCAATACCCCTTTTGGGAAATTAAAGCAACAGCCTTTAAGATCTTAAAGAGATTCAATACTAGAAGGTGACTGTTATGTTGGGCTTGGAAATTGTTGGTAAGCCCGAACTTTTTACAAAAAAGCAGGTCAAACGCCGAGCCCAGCGAATGTTGTCGCGAATCCAATTACCGATTGTTTGCTAATTCATTGAACTACTGGTAATTATGCAAACTGTTTCTTTTCAATACTAAATACAGATTGTTCTAAAGTTTTCTAAGCGCTTTTGGTTAGCGTGACACATGCCCAAGTTCCAATCGAATAATTAAAAGAATGAGCACAAGAAAAACTGCATTGTCGCAAATTGGAAGCTACTCTAATTCCTATATTGTTTACTTCTTATATTGCTTTTGATGCGCTAATTACGTATCTGGCCATGAAAACACTTCTCAAGGATTTTGATTAACTAGTCCTAAGCCTGAAACGTTCTGTTTTGAGGAATAAATTTTAAATGTATATTTATACTGTTCTTCTTCTTTCTTAAATATAAAATTTTCCTAAGGAAGTTTATTTATTTTTTTTAAGAAGATAAAAAATAATGGAAACAAGACAACAAAAAATTTACTTGGAGATGCCGGGGATTGAACCCGGGGCCTCTCACATGCAAAGCGAGCGCTCTACCACTGAGCTACATCCCCCTCTCCATTTGGCCAACCAAACACATTTTCGTTTCAGGAACGAAAGATACAACAGGAAAACTAATTTCAAGGATAAGGGTTGTTTCAGGAATGTGAAGGGAACAGTTAAATGTTGGTTCAACAAGTATAGTAAATATAAAACAGAACCTTTACTTGCGCAATATAATTTAAGCTCGCTTTCATACCAAACGTCGCTGTTTCCCAACGACCATTTGTTCGCCACCATCTCATCGTTGAAAAGAAACATCGACACTTTAACTTTTGTGGGGGATGTAGCTCAGTGGTAGAGCGCTCGCTTTGCATGTGAGAGGCCCCGGGTTCAATCCCCGGCATCTCCAAGTACATTTTTTGTTTCCTTTTTTCACAACACTCATTTGGCGGCATTAGTGTTTTTTTCATCACATACTTGGGAGCACCGATCGCTGTGGTGATGCTCTTTTGCAGTACTTTGCCTCATAGCCCGCCCAATTTTCGCACAGAAAAAAGCCACACGATCATCTGGCAGCGACTGAAAATGATTCCGATTCGACGACACGAGATCACAAAACCAAAAAAAAAAATCGATTCGCTTCTTCGTAAAATCGATAAAGTGATCCATGTGCCTACCAGGAGAGCAGAAACCAACAGCAAGCTAAATACCGCTCGCACATTTTCTATACGCCCGCACGATCATTTCGAAACTATAAAACATACTGGTTGTATAAGTGCGAGGGAGATGCCGGCCTTTCGAGGGTGAAGTGAAAGCGAGATGGCAGTATGCAAAGAACCGTGACGAGGCAAACGAAAACATATATGCAAACTTATATACATACTAATTACGAATTGTTACGAGCGCCCCTATGTGTGTACTTTAATTTTTTTTTATTGAAATAGCTGTGTGTGTTTGTTTGCGAGTTGAATTGAATCGGTTCCGTTGGCCTGCTGAGTTATTCTGTGAGCCTGGCCTGTTGGTTAAGAAGATTGAACGATTTTGGCACGGTTTGGGTTCGCTTGAGTTTGTCGCTTTCTGGTTGAATTGGACAAAAGTTATGTGGGGAAAATTTCTCCCAATAAGAGTTTAAAAACGCTTATACATCTCGCAGATTTCCAATTTCCAAGCAGCCCACTGCTTCATATCCCACTCATTGCCAATGTATTTTAAATCTTTTATTACGAAAACCCCCTGTAGGATTAAAGAAAACTTTTTTATTGCAGGTGCACGGAAACTTTTGGCAAAATCTCTCGACAGCTCAGCCTTTGGAGCTGCAATTGCACCTTCTTTTCTTCGTTTTTGTTGATTTCGCTTTTTGTGCATATAAATTTGTTGCCTAATCCGGCGACGTTTTCTCGGGAGTTGCATTTAATGCCGCACCATTTGCTATAAATATTCATGCAAATCGGCAGAGGGCTAAGAAAGCACAGCCTCCCTCAAGAGATAAACAGGAAACAGGAAATCGGAAAACAGACCAGGTGTCGCCCTTCGCGTGGCCTTAATTAAATGTAAAGGCGTTTGTGCTTTAAATGCGATTGCCCTGCTCTAAGTGGCAACTTATTAGCAATTTCATAATTGCTGGTATACTAGTATAGCATAGTTGTTCAGTTTGCCTGACTGTTCGCCTTTCATTCAGTTTTGTGGGTCCAACTTTTTCAAAAACTAATTAAAACGATAAGGGCCACCCAGCAGCGCAGCGAAATGTCGCCTTGGAGTCAATAAAAAGCGGGAGCATAACAGTCGGAGAAATCATACCAACATCGATGTACATAACATTTAAAAATAATTTTATTTTTTTTTTAGAATCCTTTAAGTATTAGTTTTTCCTTTGTTACAATGTAACTTTAGAATTGTTTACTTTTTTGTAGGATTTTACTATATCTAACTGCTTTGCAATGTTTATCACTTTCGCTATGTGTAGAAGTTGGCGGTGGAACTTTGACTATTTCGATGTTTATCCAAAGATCTGGCCAAATTTGCATTAGCACACGGCTTTTGTTTGTCTTTCACACATGAAGTGGAAGGAGTTGGCCAAAGGACGGTGAAAGCCAATTTACTTGAATGGCCAGACGGAAATTAAATAAATTCCATGAGCACACGTCAGGTAAGCCAGGCCAAAATGACAGTTGTCAGTTGACAGGCACAAAAGTACAGTTGATCACATGTCCATAGCAAAGAAACCAAAAGCTGAGATTCACTAGGACTGGTATTAAACAGAGTGTCACTTAATTTTTAGAAACTGTTTAAGAACTGCCAACGGATTTGACTGGTCCCGTCTGAGAAAAAAACAAAATTCAGTACCCATGAATCCCTTCTCATCCTTTTGATTGATTTCCATAAAGGAGAGGCATTGGGTTGGAAACGTTGTTGGACTTTTCTGATAAGAAACCAGACAATGCGCATTAAATCGGTTCAAAAGTAAAGACAATGAAATGGAGGGCTCTTCGGAAAGAAATGATTTAAATCGACACCATTATAATTTCGTAATATTTGTTATGAAACTCACCACTCTAGGGTTTTTTATACAACACCACCCCAAAAGTATGCAATTGGTAAAGTTAAAGATCGGGCTTACCTGCACGAGTTTAACTAATATTTTATGTTAACAACCATTTTGACCATAAGGTTACTCAACACACTATATTTCAGTTTCTTTCGTTTTATTCGCACTCGTACTGTAAACGGACTAACGAACTCAGGTTCAGAATCGTTCGGATCCCTTAACGATCGAAATTGGCCTGTTTGGGAGTTTCTGTTAACAATGTTAAAAAAGGGCCTCTAGCGGGAGAGTTTGACTACTCAAACTCAAACTCAAAACAAAGATTACAACCGATGGTGGGGTGATCGACTAAGCCCACACACTATTCCGGTTTCTTTCGCACTTACGAGAAAACACCTTTTCACTCACACTCATTGCAGTGGGCAATAATGGACTGACGGATCCGTCGAGACTACCTTATACTTATTCTACCATGCTTCAGCGGCCGAAATCAAGTTACGATTTGCCCGGGAAAGCGTTAACATCGTGCCAACGGATCTCGCTTTTAAACGCCAGGAATAACAACAACAAAACCGTCGCGTATATAGCCCGCTCTCCCTCTTTCGCCTGTCAACAGTTATTTTAACCGACAGATTTTTGTGCGACTTTTTCGTGTGCGCTCGCTTTCGTTTCGTCGTTCGTTGTTGTTGCAGCTCCTTCATTAAAAACAAAATTGTAAGGCTTAAACAAAAACAACAACAACGCGTGTGTGTGTGACAATAGTGTGCAACAACAACAGCAGCAACAATTTTAGCAACATTATCCAACTAACAACAATTTAAAAACCAAAATCAACAACATTTGAAAGGGACTTGTTTCTATTTGTTTTTAAAGCGGTAAGTCGAGAAATTAATTTAACAGCCTTGAGACAGTTGTAGAGCCACTGAACTTGAGCGAAACGCGACCAGAATATCAATTGACTCCGTTGGAATTCCAAAACAACGTGCTAAACATAAATGTGCAAAAAAATATATGTACGAAAGGCATTGAATCATTTGCCATGATTTAACAATGTTAATAAAAGTCCAATTCATTTGTTAGCCATCCCACTTGAAAGCCATAAAAACAACATTTTCAATAACTGAAATTAAATAAACAATTTACACACGCAAAGCGGTTTGGGGTTGGAAAGAGAAGGAGATAAGGTGGTGGGAGCGAGATGGATAAGAGGCTGCAATCAGCATTACCGATATACACTGAAAAATCAAAGTTAATCTCATTATTTACTAGTAATTATGGCTAATACAATTATAGTAAACATGATGACCAGAGAACGACTACAAAACGATTATTCAACATCAGAACTTTTTTGTTTATTCCAACATTCTGTTTTAGTCTTAGAGTTCTCTCCCTTAAAAATTGATCCACAATATAATTTTAGGGCAACATTATTCAAATATTATCAATTTATAGCAATTTGCACAACGTTATGGAAATTTACTTTTGATAAGTTCAAGATATCAAAAATAATTGAAACTGATAAGAAGTCTTTGCATAGAAAGAGTTACCACCAAATTTTGCACATTTTTTTTTGTCTGCACCCAAGCTGAATAAATAGACTAAATAACCCAAAATAAAGTATGTTTTTATTGCGTACCGCTAAATGTATTGCCTTGCTAACTGTTTTAACTGCATTAAGAGCCACACCGTCTTACATAATAATTGTTTTGATTTATTGCCCCCTCTCGCTCGCTCCCTCTCGCCCCTTCTCTTTCCATCGCATTGCATAAGGCCGTTTTCAAATGCGACATGCATGCGATTTTGTCTCTTTTCTTTTGCTTATCGCCTGGCCTCTCGTTTCAGCGCTATTCATAAATCGCTTTCAGTTCGGCGGGTTTTTCAACGACTACTTCTTCTTCTTGTCGGTTAGGCACTCCCCAGTAACACCCCCTAAAACCCCCTTCCAAAAACCACGATCCCCTTGGGGTTTCGGCCAAGTGACAACTCTGGTATTCCAGCTATGTTTCAAAGCAGGTTTCTTTGATCGTTTTTTTTCTCTGTTTTTGTTTGGACTTTGCTTTTATTTTTGTTTCAAGTCGCTAGTTGTTGTTGCTATTAATTCACCGGTTTACTTCACCTGATTTGCTGGTTATGCATTTTTGTCGCGTGTATTTCTGGTTTCTTCAGACTGTTTTTGTAGCTTTTTCTGTGGCACTTGCCACGATTAAGATCCAATCTTGTGCCTTCTGCGCTTGTCACTAGCTATGCTAATTCGATTAATGTCTGCGGCTTCGGTATTTAGCGATCGGGTTTTTGCATTTACCGCGGCCACAGATCGACGATTTTTGACACATTTTGAGGATTGAGAGATCTGAGTAAAACATTGAAAAACACAGTCTAGGCCACAACCAGTTCTGTAAGGGGGATCGACTTAGGAAACGTGGAATCTATTAATGGATAATGGGAATTCTTCAAGACCAAACCACTGGTAAATAAACTAAAAAAAATGTTAATCTTCAGATTTATAAAAAATTCCCATGAAAATGTTGGTTCATTGTGCACCTTTTTCTAAGCTGTTCCTAGAATTCATTCAATCGCTTATTTGTTGCGAAATAGTCTAATCATGACATGAAGATAGAATCCTAAAACCGAATTTTTATCCAGACTTCTCCGCTCATGACATTTTGATTAATTAGGTGATTAGACAAATGGCGGAGCTCTATTTCAATACACTGTTTATTTTTATCCCCAGCTAACAGCTGATCGTGAAGGCCAAAAGTGATCGTGATTGCTTTGATCGCCTTTTCGATTTCGTAGCCTTGAATTCGGAATGAAATTTTGAACAAAGTAAACAATGATAACCGTCGAGCTTCTACAGAATTCGCAAGCCTTAAATCTATTTATCATATTTGGGCGAAAATCCAGTCGTGACTCATAAGGTTCCCACATCCATTCATTTGCATTTTGAATGGCATGCGAAAATCTTCACAATTGCACTTGTCTATGCACAATGGATGCTACCTGAATATACATTATATTTTTCAGCTTTTCAAAAGTTTCTTACGACTTTAATGTGAGTGTGCAAGCAAAACAACAATTTGCACACTAGCCCGTGTATTGTTTGTGCAATATTATTATTTCTACTTAAGCTGGCGTTCATCATTTTTTTCTAAACGTTAATTTATAATATTCTCAAGGTCTCCACTCGACTGAAAAAAAATTTGACGCAGTCAATTCACCATTATTATATAAAAATGCAAAGCTGAACTCTCCCGAAAGCTACAAGTTAATAAATCAAGCCAAAGCTTAGAAATTTTACTTTTTGCTTTTGATAAACTTTCGAAAAAGAAAGACCAGGGAAGATGGTTTAAATTATACAAAATATGTGCCTTATTAGGTGGATGGGGCAAACGAACGAAAACGAAAGCCCCATTCCCGGTTCACAGTTCAGGCCTGAGTCTGGGATCTCTCACAGAAATGTTTTACTTTCCTACTCCCTATTTTTGTTTGTCTGCTCGGACAAAAGAGACCCAAACAAGATTCAACAGCCGAAGAAACGCCTAAAAACAGCAGCAACGAAACAAGTACAAAGCCAAAGATATTTCAAAAGGCCAGCACAAAGCAGCCACCAGAGTGAAGACCAGACCAGGCAAAGCCAAAAAACAGGTTCTAGAATCAATTTTTATTTTCTCAAGCTCAACCAAAAAATAACTACAGAAACGGAATAAAACGAAATCCAAGACGCAACAGGAAAGGAAGTTGAAATTCGGTTAGATCGAAGTATCGATGCCCTGAAAGGAATGGTATAAGATGCAGATATTAAAGGACCTTCTTAGTAAAAATATTATTTAAAAAGATTTTAATACAGCTGTATGAGACAGCCTACGGTTTAATATAACAAAGAGCTTAAGTTTTAACCAAACCATATTTATACTTGAATAGCATTGGAAGGTACTCTTTAGTTAGGGTATTTCGAAAATATTCGCTGGATGAACGCACGAAAAATATTTGAGGCAGCCGCAGCATCAAAATGAATTTGGTTAGGACCGGGTTTCTACAGATACAGAGATACAGCTTCTAAGTGGCTCTCCCTGTGGTGCCCCTTGATTCCCCCACTTCCTACCCTTGGTCCCTCCACTTAGGGCGATCTTTATACTTTTTTTTTTTTTTTTGTTATTATTTTGCTGGTTGCTAAAAAGTTTCTGTACTCGGCCCGCAGTGTCGTCAGCGATTGTATCTGTAGCCGTGTGCGGGTATCTTGTGAGCTCTCTGGTGTGCGCTGCCACATGCACACGTTCCGTCAGATACATTGCGCCTAGAATTTTTCAGCCAAGTTTTATGAGCTTTTTTCGTCAGGCGGCAGAGCCGGCAGAAACAAGCCAGTTACACGGCTTACATCCAAAAACAATTTGTGTACTTGCTGCTGTTGCATCTGCAAGACTGCTTGGCCAGCGCTTTAATTCCTTTTTTATTGACATTTCCTCTTGTCGTGGCGAGTTCTATAATTTTACACGTAATTTCCCCAGCTGGCTTTTTTCGTGTTGCTTTTTTTTTTTTTAGTTTTTGGCGACTCTGCAAATTGCTTATTAAAGTTTTGATTGATTGCTGAGTACGCCCTGAGATCCGTTGTACGAAAACCTGAAACGCTAAGAAATGATATATGTAGGGTAAGATGGGGTAAAACCGCCGGTGGGTAAAACCGCCATTTGGATTTTAAATTCAAATGAACCGCCGAAACTAGTAACCGTTGATAATGTCGATTCTGATCGATAATGCGCAGTTTTTGCAGTCGGTCGGAATACTGCAGCTTTGTTGTGACAATTTCTATTGCGCCATTTTTGTTTCACTTCTTGGCGCCAAAAAATTTTTGTTATAAAGATTGCTCAATCAAGTGTAAGTTAACGGCTTAAAAAAAAGAGGTAAGTGTCTGCTTATAGTACGAACCTTGATACTGATGTACATGTATCAAGTTAGCCAATATTTCCAAAATTGTACAAACTAAGTGACCTCGAAAAAAAATTGGCGCGTGGGGTAAAAACGCCGCGAAAAGGTGGGGTAAAAACGCCACACAATTTGATAAGGGAAAAACTCGTTTTAATCGAGAATGAATGTCTTTCAGCATTATGCCTCACAATTACGCAAAGAAAAAAAGCAAAAATTGATGAAAATATATTTCAACGAAAATTTTAAAACGGGAGGCAGACGAGAACAAAATGACAGAAAATTCTCAAGCATGGTCGACCAAAAAAATGGACTACGTAGAAGACAGCGATGACACAGAGGATTATATTTATTTTAATTTGAATTTCTTATTTTTTATTTTATTTTTTTTATATATTCGTTGTTACATATCCATTTGAATTGAATAAAAAATTTTCTATGAAGTTATTGACATTATTTGGGTACTTAACTACACTGAAACCAGAATGGCGTTTTTACCCCACTAGGTGGGGTAAAACCGCCGTTTTAAACATTTCTTCTGAAAGATCACAATTCTTTTAAAATAAAAGCTACATAAAAACTTTCTAAATGAATTATGTAGCCAAGGGATTAAACTTTCAGAAATATAGTTTGGTTCATTGATCATTTTATAAATGAAAGCTTGACATCGTCAAATATACATTTTTGGCGGTTTTACCCCATCTTACCCTACGCCCCGGGTTGGCCTCCTCTTGGGGTTTCTCTTTTCTCGTCCCTGTTTCTCGCTAATGAAATGTGCGAAGTGTAATTGCAAGATTCACTTTTATGCCAAAAGTTGTAATTTATTATGGAGTAGGGTTGTTATGTTGGAAAAGAGCACGGGGGATCGAAAGACAATTAAGGTTTGCCGTAAGGCTACTTTTTTATTGCATTCTTTGGTAGCAACTAACATTCAAACTGTTTTCATTAATAAGAA